ATAATACACAAGTCATAAATCCTGTAATTCTTACTACATGCAATTGCAATGAGGAATCATTCAATTCAAGAGGATGGATAACGAAAACCCTTGTAATAAATCTAACTGTACACAATTTGTCTCCAACCACTTCAAACAAAACTATCACAATCTGACAAATGAATATTGAATAATTTGCAGATTAAGACACCTGTAATTTAGACTACTAGAAATTGTCAAACTTTGGGTACAAAATCACGGGTGGAGAGCACCCTTACAAAAAATCTGCCTTTATACTATTTGTCCCCACCCTCTTCAAACGAAACTATCAGAATCTAACATATAAATATTGAATAATATACAGGTTGTGGCACCCGTAAATTTGACTACCTTTGGGTACAAAAGGAGGGAAGGAGAGCACCCTTACAAAAAATCTGACTTAACACATTTTGTCCTCGCCCTCTTCAAAAAAAATTATCAAAAACTGACAAATGAGTTATGAATTATATGCATGTTAAAACATCTGTAATTTCTACTACACGAAATTGCAAAGTTTTTAATACAAATGAAGGATAGAAAGCTCCCCTACAAAAAATCTGAATTTATACATTTTCTTTCCACTCTCTTCATACAGTTTTATCAAAATCTGAGAAATGAATATTACAGATTATAATAGCTATAACAACACTAATTGTTCTATCAAGAATTGCAGTTTTAAGTTCAAAAAGGGAGTAAAGTGCCCAATCAACGAAAATCTATAATTACATATTTTATCTTCGGTCAACAGAGTCAAAGCCATCAAATTCTGGCAGGCAAATTTTGGAAAATAAGCAAGTTAAAATCCGAGTAACGTCCAAATGAAGGCTGTATCGCCATCTGGTGGTTCCTTCTCGACACTAAACGATTTAAATTCATTATTTTATGGTAAAGCTTTAAGCCCAAAACAAAAAGTAAAAAAAACCCTTGATAAAATCTGACTGTACATATTGTGTCCCAGTCTTCTTCAAACAAAATTATCAAAATCTGACAAATGAATTATGAATAATACTATAGTTATAACACCTATAATTTTTACTAAATGATATTGCAATGTTTTATGTTCAAAAGGAAGGGTAAAGAGAACCCTTATAAAAAATCTAACTGTATACATTTTGTCCCCACCATCCTCTGACTACTAATACCTA